GGTATGTACGTATAGAAAAAAACATACGTAGGGTTTGGTACTACCCACAATTTCAGGCTGGGGTTCTTGAAATGTATCCCCCACAGATAAAAGGGGAACTACTGTACACTTTTTCTCCAATTTCATTAAACTCCCCAGTGCTCTGTCTTGCTCATTTCCATTTCAGGCTGGGGTTCTTGAAATGTATCCCCCACAGATAAAAGGGGAACTACTGTACACTTTTTCTCCAATTTCATTAAACTCCCCAGTGCTCTGTCTTGCTCATTTCCATTCAGTTTTCAGTCAACCCCATCTTTTTTCATTTCTTTATCTGGGCACAAGTTCAGATTACATGTTTCTGTTTCCCCTGCAGTTAGGTGAGGCCAAATGACTGAGCTCTGGTCAATCAATGGAATGGGAATGCAAAACATGTGACACTTCCAGGCTGGTCCTTAAAAACTTCCCTCACTCAGGTTTCTTTCTCTTTCCCTTCTGCTGGAAGAATAAAGAGGGTTCTAAAGTCCATGACTGACCATGTAAAGCAGAGAAGTCCCCCATCCCTGCCACCAGCATCTCAATGACCTTCATTGGAATGACCTTCATGAACTAAATTGTTATTATACTAAGCTACTGAAATTCTGGGTTTGTTTGTTACTTGGTTGACCTGTCCTGACTAATGTCCTGATTAATACATCAGTCAAAACTATTCATATGAGATTATACAATCCTTTATTTCAACCTCTCTTTTCAAAACTTTTTATTCTCTTGATTTTATTTGCTGCTTCCCTGGAAAAAAAGCCCAGCTCAGGATATCAATTCCATCGTCTGGTTTCTCAGCTTTATGCTACCTTTTAGCTGTAACATACAAGAGTAATGCTACCTTCTAGCTGTAGAGTAGAAGAGCAATTCACAAGACCAAAAGGACTGGTACAGCCTCAGGTGATCCCCAGTACTGCACAGGACCTTCTATCACTCCACCTATTTTGACAACTTCCCCAGTGTTTCTTGAACTCTAGGAAACATCTATTACTAATTGGCCATTCCCTCCTTGAAATGATTTCTTCCCTTGGCTCTCATTGTACTACTCTCCAAGTTTTCCTACCTCTCTTTCACTTCGTAGACTCCTTTTCAGTTCCTCAGTCTGCCCCAACTCTTATTTCTCCATTATCCTTTAAATCCCATATTTTCTTCCATACTTTTATCCATTGGAGGCAATTTCATCTACTCCCTTGACTTCAACTACCATGAATACATTGACAGCTGTAAAACATATCTCCAGTCTAGACAAGTCTTGAACCTCAACCCTACTGAAGTCTCAATAGACACAAAAAATGTAATGAAACTGAAATCACCACCTTCTCCCATCTCCCCTGAAATCTGCTACTCCTTCCCCTGCATTTCCTTTGTCAGTGGATCCTCTTAGCCATAGCCTGGAAAGAGAACTCCCTCCTCCCAACTCCACAATTGTTTATAACTCATCCCACCCTCTAAATGTATTTTGGATCTGTCCCTTCTACATACCTGTTGCTACAAACATTTGTATTTTACCTGAATTACTTCAAAAACATCTTCACCAATTTCCACATCTCTAGTTTTACTTCTCCAAATCATACCATGTGACTGATACACAGATCTTTCCACCATACAAGTCAGATGATATCCCTTCCCTACTGGGAATCCTTCAATGGCTCCCTACTACCTTTGGAATAAATAGTTCTCTGTCTCTTCTCAACTCTAGACACTTCTATACAACATCCCTCTGGACATTTTTACTCCTGTCTCCCACGGTGCCTTATACGCAACATATCTACCCTTCCTAACTCTGAATCCAAATCTGAGTTTCTCACTATATTTCTTTCTCCATGAACAGCACCACTATCTCACCTGTGCCTAAATCATATATCTAAACAGCATTACTGACGATGCCTGGCCCTCTCCCCAACATCCAGTTCATCACAAATCCTCCTGAAAGCATCAGCTTCTCCTCAAAACCAGCACAAACATCCGAGCCCAGACCAACATAATCTCGTCTGCAATAGCCTCCTAACTCGTCTCCTTTTTCTAACCTTGCCCTCCCTTCAAAACCTTTCACATATAGGCAGAATGATCCTGCTAAAATGTTATGATTGTGCTTAAAACCTTAAAATGATACTCCATGGCTTTCCGCATCACAAAAAAAAAAATAGCTTTAATGGAGCTTAGGTCCTGGTGAAGGAAGATGAAAAAATAAACAACATAAGAAGATAATAATGTCAAGACACTAGGGAGGGAAGGTGATTTTAGATCTGATGGCCAGGGCCAGTCTATTCCAGAAGTGACATTTCAGGGAGACCTGAAGGATTAGAAGGAGCTAGCCTTGATAAAGGAGGCAGACATCAATTTGCTTACTTACCATCATCCCCACTAAGCTGTGAGGTCCCCGAGGACAGGACCCATGATTTATTTATCATTCTGTTCTAAACATCTCCCACAGTTTTTCATACTCTTAGGTTTTGAATACATATTTGATGAGTGAAGGGATGAATGAAGGTTACCTTTAAATTATTGGGCAGTGCAACTTTCAACTAATTGTGTGCTCACATTTTTTTGTACAGATGTTGACACCCACTTGTGGAACTTTCAAGCTGACAACTTTCTAGGCAGCCAAAAATGAATGGGATTGTCTTTAAAGAGTTTTGCTTTCTTTAATTCCTTCTAAAATATTTCAGAGCAGACTCTGTACAGCAGAATCTCTTACAACCAGGAGCCCTAAGGGAATAGCAGAATGGATGAACCACCTGTGGGATAGCACAGGGTATTTCAGCCCCACCAACCATAAAAGCCAGCATCAGTTAACAGACCAGGCTCCAAGGGCCCCCAGCTTTGAGCTTTTTTTTTTTTTAAATAATTTTTTATTGTTATGTTAATCACCATACATTACATACATCATTAGTTTTTGATGTAGTTGAGCTTCTTAATAGGCAAAAACTTTTTATACAAATTCAAAACAACCTCAGACATTCAGATTCATAAAGAAAATGATTTCAAGTAATTATAGTTCATTTCTGCTAAGCAGCAAAAAAAATAAAAAAATAAAAAAATAAAAGATTCTCTAAAATATACTGTATTGCATGTAATTACTGAATTTGATCTTGGAATATAAGATATTCAGGTTCATAACCCCTTACTTGCAAAGTAAAAGGTTTTTGTTTTTTTTTTTTAAAAAAATAAACAAGTAGGGGCACCTGGGTGGCTCAGTCAGTTAAGTGCCAACTCTTGATTTCGGCTCAGGTCATGATCTCAGGGTCGCCCCTCCCCCACCTCTCTCCCTCTAAAAAATTTAAAACTAAATGAATAAAACAAATAAACAAAACAAAAATTTAACAGCAAAATCTAACCCAACATGAAAATGTTTCTCTCTCATTTAATCTACTTAGTGTGACTATTCATTTGTTTTACTGCAGAAACATGAAGTGTTTAATTAAAGGGTGCTGCCTCTGACTCCATAGGAATATTAATATAATATGATATATGCAATATTTTTTTTCTAAAATCCAAAAAGTTCTGATATTAAAGGCACATCTGGCCCCGAGGGTTTGGAGCAGGGATCTGTGCTCTATTATGAGACTCACCCAATTCTATTATCTTGACTTTTAAGACTTCCATAATGTGTGGGCTTTGAAGTACTCAGGGGAAGTTAAGTCATGGTAACACAATTAGCATTATTTCAGCATTTGGAAGCAATATATAATTGAAAACTGTTCTGAATTTCCTTTCGATCTGATTTAAAATATGCACTTAAATATGCACTTATGCCACTATACTATTGCTTTTCCAATAAGTATAAACTTCTATGAGCTACAGCCTCTGATCACGAGGAAAATTTATAGAAAAATCCGTTATACATCAAGCCTTAATCTGGGCATTGCAATCTTTACAATAATTTGCCATAGCTTCTAATTTTCCCAAATGTTTCATTGTTCTCATTTTATAACTTTTGTAATTTTCTTATATTTTATATTTTTTCTCCCAAAAGTTTCAAGAACAGCACCTGCCTGCTGAGAGCAAGGTAAATACTGTTTGCAAGGCACACATCTAGTACCCAGCTGCAAACCTCATTATGAAATTATTTCTGATTTTTACAATCATCTTATGGATATATTTTCATCCTTCTCATCACACAACTGAGCAAACTCAGGTTCAATTTGTCCCAGGCCACATGGCTACTAAATGACAGGGCAGAATTTTGAACCCAGGAATGTCTAGTTCCAATGATTGTTTCTTCCAAAACATCATGAGGCAAATAATTGTCCCATGCTCCAATCTCATTCTCAACTTGAGCACAATTGGAAGAAAGACTTTAAAGCTGCTTCATTTGTGGTAGAAATTAGAGTGTAATGTTTTTTGGTTTTTTTAATGCCTATGCCAGTAATTTGACAGTATCTTTATACTTCCATAAAGTGAAGATATAGTATCTGGTTTTAAAAGATTCAACTTTAAAGCCATATAAGATAGCAATTGATGTAATTTGGATTTTATTTTTTTAAATAAATACAAATAATTGTAACTGAGTAGGCTTATCAACAAATACATCAAAATCAGATGTTTAATATTCACCCACCTTTTAGAAGCACCAACTACATTTATTGGAAATATTATCATACAAGTTGTAGAGAAAGGCTTACACCTTGTAACAACATAGCATAAAGGGACAGAGATGAAGATCATTAATGATTTTAATTATTTTAAGGCCCATTAAAATTAGAGAAATATCAAAGCACCCACAGTGTTAAGGGTTTATTATTACAGCATTTTAGAATTTACTAGTTCATACCTTTCAATCACAGCAAGTTATTAGCAGTGAAGGGATGAACCCTCTAAAGAGGATTTTTATTTCAATGATACAGTGTTACGGACAAGACAACCTAAGTTTAAAAAAATTAGTAGCAAGCGCTAGTTGAGTTAATCAGTTAAAGACAAACTGTGCCCTTGGGAAGCTAAATGAAAAAGCAACAGTAAAGCTTACAGAACTTAGCTCGTACAATTTGCCTTGAAGGCGGAAGATTGGTTCCCTGAAATAGCAAAGAATTATATGCTTTAGTTCAGAAAAAAGTTTTTAAAATAAAGTCTGTTATTACCTCTTCTCCTTTCAAAACAATGGAAAAATTTCTAGAGCAGAGGTTTCAATTTGTTCAATAATTGTACCTCTGAATTTAAAAAAAAACTATAAAATCATCATTGTTTTGACTTGAAAAGAAATAACAATGCAAATATTCATTATCACATAAAACATAAAAGAAACAGCAAACTGTCAGAGTTAATGCAATCTCTGCAGAGCGCTATTAGTCAGAGACAGCCAGTCAGCCCAAAACACAAAAACTCAAAAGATCACATCTTCTTAGGAATTAACATCTTCGTTAACCAACAGGAATTTGGTGTGGCAGAGAGTAAATCCAACAACTGCCTTCTTTATGAGCTGTCCCTTCACTGTTACCAAGCTGTGCAAATGTGTGAACTAGTCAGCAGCACCAGAAGCTCATGCAACTACTCACCATATTTTAACCTTGAACTGACTCATAGATTCCATGTTAGATCAAATTTAGGGGTAACATAAGCAAGCAAAGTAGGACACAAGGAGTCAATTTTGAAAAGCAGAGCAAATAGCAGAAAAGTTATTTAAAATAAATCAATAAAGCTAAATGCATAAAATAGCAAAAAAAAAAAAAAGCAACACACTCCAGAAACCTTACAAGCAAAAACAAAACAAAACAAAAAGCTGCATTTTCAGCAAAATTTGCACATGATTAATTTGCATTAAAAAATAATCAATCAAGCGACTGAGTTCAAATTCTTTGGGGCATGCATGCAACTGATTATTTTTAAAATGCCTACCTGATTTCCAACTGTGTTTTTCTTGTGAACCTGACTGCTCCTCTGCTGAGCACTGAGAAAAGCAAAGGAGATCAGCACTGAAGAAACGCATACTTTTTTTTGGAACAAGTAACACATATTAAAATATATACAGGCTTTCAAAATGTATCAACAACTGAGGCAGAGCAAATTCCAAAAATCCAGGCCAGTTTAATTCTGGAAGTAAAACCAACTCAGGGGAATTAGTACCAATTAACCACCCCAAACCAAAAACATAACATCAGGGGGTAGAAAGCTGTAGTGCTACATTAATCATATGAGTCCGTACAAGTATTTGTGATGTCCTAATAGATATACAGAATAGTTGCACTGAAAATTAACAGTTAACATTTACTGAGTGTATGTTCTAAGAAGTATTTTACAGGTATTGGTGATTTTGATTTATATTTTTAACTCCATGAGGTAGTTACTATTATTCCTCTCATTTTACAGGCAGATAGAATGAGTCACAGAGAAGCAAAGTGGCTTTCTCAAAGTTACTCAGCTAATAAGTGGTGGTACCAAGTAGTCTGATTCCAGATCCCAAACTCTTTGTGATATTACCCAATCTCATTGCTTTGAATTCTACTACATTCTGACAACTCCTAGAATGATCTCCAGCTTGGACCCATTTCCCCAATTCCAGACTCAAATGTTTTTGACAACTCACCCTCTCACATGGAAGTCTAATGGGCATCTCAAACTTAATATGCCAAAACTGAACTTGTGATGTCCTCCCTAAAACCTGCTCCACCACAGTTTTCCCCTCTTCAGTTAGTGGCAATTCCTTATTTCCACATGCATAAGCCAAAATCCTTGATTCCTCCCTCTCTCTCACAGACTCCATATCCAGTCATGAGCAAATGCTATTGACTTTAAGATGTATTTAAAACTCGGGGCACCTGGGTGGTTCAGTCAGTTAAGTGTCCGACTCTTGGTTTCAGCTCAGGCATGATCTCGGGGTGGTGAGATCGAGCCCTACACCCGGCTCCGTGCTCAGCGAGGAGTTTGCTGGAGATTCTCTCTCTCTCTCTCCCCTCTCTACCACTCTGCCCCCTCCCCTACTCATGCACACATTCTGTCTCTCTCTCTCTCTCTCTCATAAATAAATCTTTAAAATAAAATAAAATGTATTTAAAATTCAACATCTTGGGTTGCCTGGCTGGCTCAGTCAGTGGAGCATGCAACTCTTGATCTCAGGACTGTAGGTTCAAGCTCCATGCTGGGTGTAGAAATTATTTAAAGATAAAAATCTTTTTTAAAAAATACATTAATTAATTTAATCAAATAAAATTCAACATCTTTTTACCACCCCCCATGGCTACCACATTTGTCCAAGCCATGGTTATCTCTTATTTGTATTGTTATCACTTACTGTGGTCTCTGCTTCCACACTTGTCCCCCTAATATCAATTCTCAACACAGAGGCCAAAGTGATTCTTTTAAAAAGGGTATCCTTGCCATGCTTCTGCTCAAAACGTTCTATACTACTATGCAATGCCATTCTACTCAGGGTAAAAGTCCTTACAATGGTCCACAGGCCCTACTCAACTGACCCCCAACCTCTGCCTCTTTGAATCATCTACTCTCCCCACCTTGTTCACTGGGGAGGTCCAGCCACAATGACTCCTTTCTTTTTTTTTAACCTACCAAGCACAATCCCGCCTCAAAACCTTTATGCTGCTACCTGTTCCCTCTGCCTAGAATACTCATCCCCTATACAACTGCATGGCTCTTGACATCACCTTCTTCAAGTCTTTGTTCAAATTTATCTTTTCAGTGAGACCTACCATGATGACCCTATTTAAAATTATATCCCTCCTTGTCTCCAGCACTCTTATCCTCTTTATACTGTTCTATTTTTCTCTATGGCACTTTACACTTTCAAACATACTGTATAGTTTACTGATTTTTGTGTATATCTATTTTCTGTCTTCTTCCATTAGAACGTAAGCTCCTTGTGAGCAGAGCTTTTTGTCTGTTCCATGTCCCCAGTGCCTAGAAACTGCTCGGCACATAGTTGGCTTCAATTAGTATCTGTTGAATGAAAAGTCCAATGAGATTGATATCATTATAACACGAGCACAGAGGGATTAAGAGTCAGATTTGACCTCAACAATTTAACTCTGGAGTCCAGATATTTATGTGCTATGTTACTCTATCTCTCAAAAGAATGAAGGCTTTCTTTCAGTGAATTCATGAGTAAACACCTATTGATACAAGAAAATAAAAGTCACTGTGGCAATTCTGAAAAGCAATCCTGAACGCTCTCACTAGTTGTTTAAGAGTTTATAGAAGCTGTTTTAGAAACTGATGAAATAGTCTAAAATAGAGAAAATGTAAAGTCATCAATCAACCATTTAAAGTGATGGGATCTTGTGGTTCAGTAGCACATCACAAATCACACATTTAGAACAGCTGTTCAAATTAGCAATCTTTTATAATCTACCGTGATGTATTTAAGGTGCTTCTCTTCATTCAATCTCAGGAAGAAACAAACACTACATTCAAATGAGGTTGGGGAAGGCATGAGTGGTAAAAGGGCAAACAGTATTTGATTACTAAAGATATTTTGTGTATTTTTTTTTTGTTTTTCAATTTGCTAATTTCAGTGTTTGAGCTTCTTCTTTCCTCATTGTTTTTTGTTATTTTTCTACTTGTTAGTTAAATGCTTGCTTCCCTAATCACTATGAAATTCATCTCTCTCCAACCATTTCTCTACATAATCCAAATCTACTTTACTAAGGTTTTTGTAGTGAGGTTGTAAATGAGATAAAAGTTTGCGTCAGGCTATGGCCAGGGGTCTGATGCACCCACACTGCCCTCTGGCTGCCCACCATGCCCTGAACCATGAAGTATGTCTAAAGTGTTTCTCTTCTGAGGCTTCAGATCTTGACCATCCTTTCTTTCTCCAGGCCTGCAGGTTCCCCCTCTTCAGGGAAGAACTAGGACCAGCTACAACTGTACTATGATCATGCCACCTTCATGGCTATGGTCATCCTTTCCAAACCATAATTTTGTTAGGGTTTTCTTAAGGGGAAATGTCTTAAAATAAAGCATTTACTAGTAGTGATAATTTTAAACTATGATAGATCCACAGGTGTTTACAGCAGGCAAACTATTGGGGACCCTTGAATTATGTGTATAACCATAAAAGAAAAACAGTAGAACATAAAGTGAAAGATTGTTGATGACTCCCTATGCTACCTGAAGCAAAGAATATGGCCCATACAGACCTCAGTGCCTTATCTATAAAGTGTGAATGAGTGAGTGTGTGTGTGTCTGTGTGTGTAGACAGAGAGACAGAGACAAGGAGTGGGGAACTACCCTACCTGTTTCTTAGGTTCCTCTTAGATCCAAGATTCCTTGAGAGGCAAAGTTATTCCCAGAAGCTTATGACCTATACTATGTAAAGAGACTTTCCACTGACAGAATCCTTATCTACTAAATAATCATATTTAGGATCTACCATATTCTAAGAATATGCAGGAGGAAAAAGATTTACTTTATAACCCAATATCAGGTATTAGTGTTAAAACAAACACTATGGGTGCCTGGGTGGCACAGTTGGTTGAATGTCTGACTCTTGGTTTCAGCTCAGGTCATGGTCTCAGGGTTGTGAAATCAAACCCTGTGCTGGGCTCTGTGCTCAGCACAGAGTCTGCTTCAGATTCTCTCTCTCCCTCTCCCTCTGCCCTCCCGCTCATGCACTCTCTCTCTCAAATAAATAATAAATCTTTTTAAAAAACCCAAATACGAAAGTGCTCAACATCGCTCGGCATCAGGGAAATCCAAATCAAAACCTCAATGAGATACCACCTCACACCAGTCAGAATGGCTGAAATTAACAAGTCAGGAAA